TTACTGAAACATCTTCAGTACAATGGTATATTTGTACGAAGATCTTGCAAAAGTAGATAGGGACGTTAATAATTACATGAGAGTCCAAGGCATTTTAGGACGAGACTACATAAGTGCCAGTGACATGGTCACTGTGAAGGACAGGCCGGGCTACAGGTATGTACTTTAAACTTTCATGTTGAAAGGCAGGAAAAAAAAACAACAGTCCTCCGCTTCCTTATTCCTGTCATAAATGTTCCCATTTCTAAAATCATTTTTGCCATTTTCATACGGTTTTGTTTGCCATCGTACTATAGCGTCCACATCAGTCTGGAGCCCACTACAGGCTTATTGAGTAGGTACAGTGCAGGTAACCCGCAGCAACTAATATAGAGATTTCATTTGGTCAGACCATTACAATATGAATTCTGATTGGCTGCTGAGGGTTATTGCACTTTCTCAAATTAAGTTGCCATTTGCCTTATTTAATAAGACAAATTCCATAATCAATAAAGGCCTACAAAGCTTTAAAGCCATACTAACAGAACATCCTAATAGATAAATAATGCTGGTAGCAATGCCCATTTTAGGGTCAGGGGGCTGGCGTTACTGGTTGCCAGGAGCTAGGCGGGACAGAGCCAGAGTGTCCCGCTCAGCTCCTGGCATCCAGTGATGTCAGTGAGCTGGGGGGTACGTCAGCCAGAGCGTCACAGGTACACCTGCCGCCCCTCCCCATGTGACCCAATGAGAAGTGACCTGAGGCAGCCAGCTCAGGCTGCCTCATTATAGCTTGTACCTACTGTGGGTCTACAGTATATCAGGATAGCAAGATCTGCCTCAGCACCACTGTAGCTTGTAGGGGACACACCTTTTCTTTCAACCCACCCAACAGAGTTTAGAAGTTTCAGAGACTGGCCCAAGGCTTGCTGGGATTTTTCACTTGGCACCAGGTATGAACAAGGTTCTAAAAAGTACTTGTAACTGACCCCTTAAACCATACAATAATGTCTTCATAACAATAAAGAGTTAAACTGGGCACCTCATATACAGACATCGGCAGCGGTCATGCCAAAACAGCTCATCAATTTATCCAAGAACCAACAACATCAGCTAAAGCCACAAAATAGGCCCCTTCTGTGGCAGGCCACAAGCAAACTCTTTGATGCTACAACTGATTCTGGATATTACAAAGTGAAGTAAAGGTAATTCAGCTCAGTAGCACACTCAGTAGTAAATGACATGAAACGCTGTACAGTAAATGCAAACTATGTAGTGTTACCAAGGCAGCCAATCACAGATCAGCTATTAGGAAATTAAAGTAGTAGCATAAAATGGACTCCAATCAGTTAGCACAACATTTTCATGCATCATTTTTACACAATGCAGCCTACTGACTATCAGGAAAAAATACCTATATCATTAGTCCACATTTACTGGCCATGAGTGGCGAACCTCTACAGTGCAGATCAATTCAAAGCCCTTTAAACTCACTCCAACCTGTATCAGAAGGCCAATCACTTTCAATCAATGTTTTATTTTGGTCTAGTGGGTTTATTTACCATAAATGAGTAACATCGAGCAGTAAGGGCAATCCATAGCGATCAATCGGAAATCAACTTTCAGCAGTTTAAGTCGGGTATACACGGGTCTATTTGTTTTTCCTTCAACCCGCGAACTGAACGAAAAAAAATAGAACAGATTCCTCCATCAATGCTTATGAGCGTCGTTAATCGAATCCCCTGCTGTTTGCATTGTATTCTGACAGCGGCCGCCAGCTGATTGGCTGCAAACTCCATTCGGCCGAGAATTTTCCAACTTGCTCCTTCAAACAAATGATCAAGGGATGCCGGGCGGAAGGGGACCGACAGCTGTGCACTGCGCAAATATTGGCCGGTTCAAGAACCAGCTGCAATTCATACCATGTATACCCTACTTTACAATGGGCAGTAAAGTGAAAACTGATTTCTGATTGGTCGCTCTTGTTTAAATATTTTTTGTTTTATTATAACCCATAATTAATTCTATTAGGGATAGCAGCAAAATATCAGGTTCTATGACTTCCAGTGTTGACAAAAGTTCACTACAACTCTATTCACAGTGGTCCAACCCCTCCAAGCACTGAAAGGGTTCATTAGTGTTTTTGTGCAGTTACAGTCCCTGTGCCTCTAACAAGCATTATTTCAATGAGGCGGAATTAAGTTTCCAGTCATTTATGGCACACACCGGACCACATGTATGGAAAAAAAAACAAAAAAACAGCGTGTCGTGTATAACAACCAGTTTCAGGTTAACAAATGACAAAAAATAAAATCCAGTTGCTATGAGCAACACAATTTTGCTACATGAGGTCCGGCATTTTTTAGAGAAATTCATAAACAGTGCACATTGTGTCATTTCTATGGTGAACGCATCACCTGAAATGACAATTAAAATTACATTTATGAATTGAAAAAAATGTTGGATTTTTCCAGTCTTCAGCATGTAAGCTGAGGGTATACACTCAAAATAAACACTAAAACTGCATAATGTGATTTGACTAGTGCACCAAAATCAGCAAGTTCCCGTTGCCTGTGTAGGCAGGTAACACGTAATGGTGGCACCGTGCCCTCAGCGTACAAGATGGCTGCTTGTCTGCTAGCACAGTATCAGAAAAAAATCTGAAAAAATATTAAAAATGTTTTATGTGCTAAATATATATATATATATATATATATATATATATATATAAAATAACAAATAAAAATTAACCAAAATGGTAACCTTTAGGAACCAGAAAAATCATGGTATCAATGTGACTGGATGCTAAAGCTGACCATACACCAGTAGAATTTCATTTGAAAAAAAAGTAATTTTGTTTTTTTTTAAGTAGTTGTCGGGGTCAAATCGACAATCATTTCTAACAGCAGTGAGGATAAAAACTAAATAAGCAGGATGGAATTTTTTTTTTTTTTTTAAAAAAAAACTAATGAAGTTCCAAAAGTGAAACAGTTTGAGAAATTCCAGCCATTTCCAAAATTGAACTACAGGTATTCGTCAAGTCTCTTTAGGCTATATCAAATGTTCTGACGTGTATGGCCAGCCTAAGAGTTACCGCAAATCATCTCCTTATGACCTAAAATGGGGCTGTGATGTAACAGTTCACTGGGAACTTCTGACATCATAGATTTGAGGCATCGAATGATAGATACCTCCAAAAAATGGCCTCCACAGTGTGTGAATGACAGGTACACTTTAACATGACCTTCCCCATAAACTTGCCATACTAGCTGTTTTTTTTTTCCCTGCAAAAAAAAAGAAGTAAAAGCAGATCTGAAAACCACAGACGGACAATAATAATAGCTCATACATATAATAATCTTCCATGTATCGGGTTAAAATGCCCTAAAATGCTATTTACATGTCAATCTCATCTCTCCATACTCTATTTAACAGGGAGCTCGATAAATCGTTTAGTGAAGGGGGGTGACATATAACAGCTAGCCCCATGCTTATAATTAATAAAGAATATAAATAAAATGTAATACATAGTTTATATGTCAGGGGGTATTATAGATGCACAGCTTAAACCACTCACACACACTCTGAAATAGAGGAGGGGCTCTCAAGGAAAAAGAGAAGGGTGGGGGGTACAAAGTCACTTTTGTACATTCAAAACCAGCCGTGGAATTTTCTCTTTTCTGTTTATTCGTGGAGAAGCTCCTGGAGGCAGTTTGGGGAGCGAAATATGTCAGGGACCTCGCTGTCCAGTTTGCAGATGACCTTGTAGATGGCCTTCTTCCAGGAAGGATCAACGTCTTTGCCTGCGATAATGGCATTGAAAAACTCTCGTAACGTGATCTGAGCCACTTCCAGGAATCTCTCCGGAACCTGCTGAAACAAGGAGACAATGGTATTAATAAAGTTTATAGTTTCAAGTCCCTGGTTCTTCAAAGAGGGGGGGATTGAGAGCGATCTTCCTAGCAAGGAGAAGGCTTAGCAGACACCTGCACATTCTAATTATGGCAGACGCATCCATTGTCATCTGCGTTTTAAGGGAGGCTATTTATAGGCAGATTTTAATGACAAATGGCCGTCTTTGTAAAAGAATAGGGAACGAACTTAAGCTGGTGAAGGCTAGAGATCTTGGCAAGAATGTTCCTGTCATTGTCTATGGCCTGTCTGTTAAGGCCTTGCACAAAATGGCTGCCTGAGGTCATTTGTGTTCCTTCCAAAATGCACAGGGGGTTTCTAAAGGCAGCATTTGTGTGTTTTGTTTTTACTGAGGGAGGCAAATGATGACAGATTGGCATGAAGGTTTGCAATCCCTCGTCTTGCAATACATGCTTATTTTTATAATATTTTGTGTAGCACAAAAGTGGCCATCCAAGGTCATTTGTATTGGGCTAAAAATTGCATTCAATGCTGAAAATAGGGCCACAGAATAATGAAGTGACCCCATGATGTGATTGTCACCAACCCACACACACTCTGAAGAATCTGTGGGCTCTCTTCTTTTCTCTTTCAGGGTAAAGTCTGTTGGATGTTGCTGGGAGGAGGTGGAAAGGGGACAGCTGATCACCAGAATGGTGAGCAACATATTGGGGGGAAAATGGTCAACCGATAATGAAGAACTCTTACCATTACACAAAGCTATCAGTAAGGGATTCTAGCAATTTTACTTACAACAGCAAGAGCTCTCCCTCAAACCAATATATGAGCTTATATACCTAAGAGGGACTAAATGTTGGTTACACTGTATATTCTCATGCAAGCTGCTGGACCATTGAGTTGGCTATATTTTGGTAGTTCATTTATTATGTTTGGTTTCAGCCTGAGCACTGCAGGCCTCCTTTAACAGAAGTACCATAATCCAGCACCTGGTCTTGCCTAATGACCATGCCGGGTATCTGGCGAGAGTGGCACGCATTCAAAAGGACAGGAGTCCCGCCAGCAGACCCCCACACACACACACACATGCAGCACTCCTTCTCTGTGGACATGAGCTCAGAGGATATACTATAGACATCGAATGAGTACAGCCAGGTTGCTGATGTGGCTTATACAAATAAAATAAGTGATTTTGGCAACATTTAGCAAAAGTGAAAACTCAATTTCACTCATATCTATTGGCAAAATGAGAATAAGACGCAGAGAGGTTTTATGCAAGGAATTCAGCACGGTAGAAGCAGACTTTAGTATTGAGCAACTTATGACTGGCCATTATATATGAATATTTAACATTCAAACTGGCTTACAGCTAATGTTCCATACAGGTCTGTGGGACTCCTTAAACAAGTGGCTATAAAGTGACAGACTCTGGAGGGCAACTGTGGTCAGAGAAATGTGCCGCGTTCTGCCACCTCAGCTACATTTTGCAACTTGGTATAAAAACTTTGGGCAGTTAATGAGGAGGAGGGTGTTCAGAGACTTGTCCATTTTGTCCAGATTGCTCAGGCAGTATGAAGTTTGTATAGCTGAGCCAAAGCTTTTCCAGGACTGAACAAGTCCCAGCCATGGCTGAGTTTCAGATATATGCCAGGTCTAATGAATGGCCTGTGTATGGGGCCCTGTACACACGCTATATAAAGTTTCCTTTCATGTTCTTGCTGAGTTCTTCTGCCCCTTTCCATTTTTTTTAAGTTTACATGCGCTGTAAAGGTGTTTGATCCGCAGTTTCACCCTTCTCCTTGCTTCCTACAATTTAACATGGAGGCTGCTTGGTCAATATACATTGCTATCACCACAATGCTTCATTTCACAGGGCAGCAAATTTAACTTGGTGTGTTGTGTTTAAAAAGGCAGTGCTGGTTGCTGAACGCACCCATGAAAGTAAATAGGGCTATAACAAAGCTTAACAGGGTTACAACACTGTTTGATGTGCAGCACAGAGTACAAAGCAGCGTTGTCACCCTGTGGACAAGGTAGTCTTCAGCTGGCCATACGCTGTTAGAATTAAGTCTAATTCTTGCAAAATCTGCCAAAAATTCTAACTGTGGCTGACCGTGCCCGCACCACACAGCTCAACGAACTTTGATTGAAGAAAAATTGTTGGCTGAACAGTGACTGCAGCCAAACAACTGCGTTAAATGTTTGAGGATACCAGCTGGCAGAATACAATAGCCAGCAGGGGAGATTCCTCCATCCGCGCTGTTTAGCATGGATAGGGGAATCGAGCAGGCTGAACAAAAAAAGAAAAATGTGTATGGCTAGATTTAGATGGAATTTAAGTAATCAGCAATCTTATTAAAACCTAATTCCATTTTTAAAGGAGAAGTATTGGAAGAGTATAATGTACCTTCCCAACACTTAGAGCCGGTGTGTGTCACTGCAGCTGTAAAATGTCCATTCTATAGATCGAGAACTGAGTGATCACGAACTGCTGATCGCTCAGCTCACGGCTTCCCCCTGCGGAGAGCGGTGACTGTCAGTCAGTCTCTCTGTCCTTCCAGCACTCATTGGAGGGACAGGCAGGGGATGGGGTGGGCACAGCTGACCCTGGCTCTAGAGAAGCAAAGCCAGCTGTCAATCAGGTAGCGGGGTGTGTCCCGACAGTATTGTCAGGGCCTTTCCCGGCTGCAGCGCGGCTCTGCACTCTCAGCAAATAGGGGGCAGTAGCCCGCCAGATGCTGACTTTGGGTCACAGGAGGACATTAGTAAATATACTCCTTTGGTTTGGCTTTAGTTCTCTTTTAAGCAGTTACAGCAGCAGTTTTGGAAATAAAGGTTTAAAGCACATGAATAAAACCTGATTGACGCAAGCGCCTTTGTCAGTGTAATGGTTGGTGCCAACCCCTGTAACTGTCACTTTCGCTGGACAGCTTGCGTATAAAGATGGAGAAGAATATAAATAAACGCATGTGACATTAAAATAGGAATTTGTATTCTGAATAATTCAATTGCAGATCTTAACCCCATACAATATTTCTGCTACAGTGGCCCTTTAAATCTTTCCTGTTGCATTTAGCATTGTTGTAGTCATGCAGCGCAAGATTCCCCTCTTTCCTCCTCCTCCTTCCCCATTGCCTTACCTTCAAGGCTGATTTGTTTTATTAAACTGACTGTCCCCAGCATCTGCAGTCCATAATAAAAGCCTGACATAGCAGCCTGGCTGCCTTCTGTGTCCTGCAGATACTCATCATAAGTGTCAGGACATACCAAGGTTAGCGGTCACTGAAACGCGTGCGCTGCCCCAGTCTTGCCAAGCGCTCTTGGCAGCTGAATGAATGTCACAAAGAATAGACAGGGAATTACAAAAGGTTAAACGGAAGGCGGCCTCTCCTGTTTTCCAAAGAAGCACCAGCGCTTTTTTGAACACTTGTAAAACGAACGCCAACTCGTTTGCACTCCGCTACCCACACTTTGGTACGATCGAATAACGTGGGCATTGTTTGGAGTGGACTGGGTATTATCTCTTAGATCGACAAGCCTCATGCCTCGCCATGGACGCATTGCCTCCTCACCGGCCGAGGAGGACCCAGAAGCAGGATTTTAACCCTTCAGTGGTGTTTTATTCAATCATATTCAGCTGCACTTTTCATGTTTAATCATCATCGTTATTATTATTATACAGGATTTATATAGTGCCGACAGTTTGCCCAGCGCTTTACAATAGGAAGACATTACAGTTACAATACAAATCAAGACACGATGCTAAGTCCCTCCCTAGAAGAGCCTACCATCTAATAGCCCAACCACAGTCATACAAAGACACCATACTGTGCCGCATCTCATTAAAGTTGACCTTTCAGTCTGCATGAATAAACTCTTGACATGTTACAATATACTGTATCAGCAGTATTGTTATTCTATTTATAGCTTTTCATCATCATATCATCCTTTATCAAAGCAGTCCTTGAGCTCTAATCCAATGACTTTGTTTAGGCTGAAAAAATGTCAGTCTGCTGCATGCAGGAGGAAGAATTTCTTCAGTCTCCTCTCCCCCAGTGATCACTCAACGGGGGGCTAATGTGTGCCAGAAATTTTTGAACACAGCTGAAAATTGCACAGGCTTTAGGATTAACATGATTGTGGCATTTAAAGGCGGCATCTGAGTCCAGGAAGTAGAGGCTGACCCCAGATGATGCCTGATTATAGATGCCACAGTACTTCTAAAGAGAAAGGCATTGCCCGGGGAAGTATTATGATCTGTATAAGAGGTAATAAATACCTCTAATTGATACACTTTTACTGCCTCCATTACAGATTTAAAAAATCTGTAATTCCTTATTAGGGATAGCAGGTGGGGGCCGTACAAGTCTTTCTTTTAGCTCTTTGTAGCCAGCATGTTGCAGCTAGATACATAAATAAGTTTTTATATAAAATAAATAAATACGCTTTTATCTTATTGCAATGGTTTATATGTGAGTTACGAACAGGGGCGTCCCGAGGCAGGGTGTCACCTGGAGCAGGTACCGGGTGACACCCCACAGTGACGCCATTGCGCACACACAACGTCACGCGCTATTACATGCCGGCGGCCATCTTGGTGATGGACGTCGGCAGAGAGAGGAGGGTACATTCATCCAGTGAGATAAGGTATGCAGCCGGGTCCCCTCCTCTCTCGAGCAACTGTCGGGCACTGAGTCTATGACTGAGTGTCCGACTTTTCAGAGACTGTGAGTCATTTTGTTGTCACCCCTCCAATTGTGTCACTTGGGTGCGAGCCGCACCCCCGGCACCGGGCTAGTGACGCCACTTGTTACAAACCAGAAACAAGCATGCAGCCGGTGAAGTAAGACCTCCTGTACTACAAACATGTCAGCGACATATCACAAAGTAATTTAGCCAGGACTAGAATGGCAGCTCAGGACCATGATGCAAGTCAGCAAGGCAGCAAACATATGCCTATCCCCAAAGGTACCCTTTAATGCAGGGGTGGGCAAGACTAT